GAAGGAAGGAAGGCAGGCAGGCAGGCAGGCAGGCAGGCAGGCAGGCAGGCAGGCAGGCAGATATTTTCCTTAAATTCAGGGGATTGTATCGTCATGTGTATATATCCTCACTTTTAGCTCATTGGATAAATTTAACTGCATGTGTATCACCTTTTAATACACAAAAAGAGAAAGACTCCATAAAATGAAGGGAAGCTTCAGTATGGTTCCACTGGAATATACATGTCAGAAATAAATTATTGGATCAGGTAAAGGTATCCTATCCATCACAATACTGTGTACATTCATGCATTCAATGAATCCAAGTTATCAGACTGCATTTCAACCTAGGGTAGGGCAGTCTGCACTGTTTTAGGATCAAAACTAGTTGTTATATGTAACAAAGTGGTTGTACTGCAGATTCTTATATTAGGTAGCAACTTTATCACAAGCAAGCACATGACATACTTCCCTATGCCAGAAATACTTTAAGTTAAACTTCTGTATAACAGATATCCAATTATGTTTGTTATCTTCACTCTAATCTGTTCTGCCCAAAGTCATGCCTGAATTTATGTCCTGCAATTCATGCACACGGTATTAACTTTGCCACCAAGCTTGGCCACTCTGATCCAACAAACATTATGAGGAATTGAGTTGCTCCAATATCAATGGTTCTTGTTTCCCAAGTAAACCATGTCAAGCGCCACACTGCCCTCCCTGAATAAAATCTGGAGACAGCTATTTTGAACATGCTTGCAATACTTTAAATGCACCCCAAACCCCATGCTCTCCTCAAAGAGCTGAGTGGAGTTTCCAATTGAACAGCCATCTGAATATGTATCATTTTTACATAGATGCTATGGATAAACTGAATGTATGTACTGAATATGTATATATTTAAAACAAACCAGCATGTCTGCAGAGAAAATAGAGAACTGCTCCTCTATCAGTTCCACTAAACTGAGCAACGCTGCTCTTTCATTTGGGAACTCAAGCTCCGTTGTCGTTCATTCCAGTGGAAATGGCCCACAAACATCTTGCAGCTGTTCTCCGATGGCTTTCCCATAAAACCAAGCTGGGCCCAGCCTCCTACCCATTAGCCAGGCTGGCTCTGAGCCAAGTGATTTTCAGTCTCTACAAGTAACAGGTAGTTTGGAAAAAGCCAATAGAAGTAACAGGCAGATAGATCTTGGGGCTCCTGCAATACTGGAGCCTTCCCACAGTCTTAGGAGCAGAATCCTTTCTGCTTGAGAGTTTGGCTCCCTCAAGGATAAATGACAGATTGCAAGTCTCCTTTGTAGAAAGGCCTGTGAGCCATGGATGGCTTTTAAATATGACACTGAAGGGGAGATACAATTATATTCTTCTTTCAGCATATGGATTCATCTATGCAATTAAATTAAGCCAAAATAAGTTGTATTTGAACAAATGCATTTTTCCCATGAAAGACAGATTGGGTGGAGTGATATTAAACTTGAAAGAATACAAAGTTTTTATACCTGAAATAGTGTATGTGCACACATACACACACTTTCTGGTTTTGCATTTTGAGTTGCATTCTTTTTTTTTAAGTTTAAGCATACTTATTTCCATCCTGACAGCCCCTCGCAAAACTGAGCTCAGTGACCAATGCTATAGTGTACATGTGTAGGTTTGCACAACACACCTTGAGCCTGGACATTAGTAGCATGAGGGGCAGTAAGTCTTCTTGAGAAAAACTTTAAAAGGACAAATGGTCCAGAAGAGCCTTTCCCCATCTGATACTCTCCAGATATGTTGGGTTAGAAGCCACCTCTTCCCCAACTAGCAGTACCAAGCTGGGAAAAGCTAACCTAGATTCAAATAATTGGACTACAACTCCCAGAATTCTCAGCCATGATCATACTGGCCAGGGAATTCTGGAAGTTGAAATCCATGTATTTGGAGGATTTCGAGGGTTTGTATACGCTGACTTATACAAGCTGACTTTTGTGGGGAAAAACAGACAAAGTTCAATCCCAAATACAACTCCAATGTGAGAGCTGATATCTAACACTGCCTTTGGAAGAAATTCAGGCGATGGCTCTGACCAAAATCAGGTTTCCCTGGCTCTACCCAGTAGAACTCTGGGAAAATATAATGCCACCAAATGAACCATCTAAAACATTTCCTACCAACAGAAATAAGCCCCAGCATCTCACATTCTAACTTCCCACATTATTAAAATAATTTAGTAGTATCTTTCCAAATGAATGAATAGCCAAGACAAAAATGCCTACAAGTGTATATGTTTGACTCTATTATGAACTTAGCAAACCTTGAAGCTTTTCAGGTTGTTTCCTAGCTTATGAG